ACACATTTATATAATGATAAATTATAAATCATATATTTATAATAGCATTAAAAATATGTATATTATTTAAAAACAATTATGTAATTAAAGTCATACTTCAAATACGACATGATCGGTTTGTCATTGTAATTAGCATTTAGGACTTGGACCTTTATTAGAGAAATGAAGTAATTTCTGATTAATAAATTCTATAATATTTGTTCACACAGCCTAAACAAATATTATTTTTGCAACTTCACTCATCATGCAATAATTGTGTTTGAAGAACTTCATGTAATTAAAATTAACATACATTCATTGACTGCTTGTCTTTTTTTGACTATTTCGCTGGCGATACAGCCTCATTTTATGAACAACTGTAATATCTGTCTTGCCTAAAACATATTTTCCATTGTAATAACTTCAAAGATTTATAGATACTACAAGTCCATTTTTTATTTTATTTTTAGTTTTGCTCGCCAGTAGAGTCCCTTTTTTAATGTTATTTTTAGATTGCTCGTCAGTAGAGTCCATTTTGCTTTAATTTTTAATTTAATCATCAGTCGAGTGTAGTCTCTTTGAATTTTATTTTTATTTTGCTCGTGAGTAGAGGCCCATTTTCTTCCATTTTTAATTTAATTATTAGTAGAGTTTTTTTTTATTTTTAATTTGGTCGTCAGTAGAGTCCCTTTCAGTATGCTCGTCAGTAGAGTCAATTTTTCTTTAATTTTTAATTTTTTAATCATCAGTAGAGTCTTTTGAATTTAATTTTTATTTGCTCGTCAGTAGAGTGTCCCTCCTTTTTTATTTTTAGTTTGGTCGTCAGTAGAATTCCTTTTTATTTACGAATAATATAGAAATAATTTCTAATCAATAAACTTACGTTTAGTACACGGCCCAAATGTTTAATTTGTTTTATTATTTTCAAGAAACAGGGTAAAATATTCTTGTGATTCAGGAGGCATTTTTCATTAATCAAGATTTGTACTACGATGTAACTTTAAAATGTTTATTTATCTATGCCGATTTCCTGACAACGACAGATCTCTATTCACATACGTGACTACTAATCACAATCGACCTGTATAGAAATGATATCATCGAGAGCGAATGACGAATCATTGGCAATCGACTGGAGCGTAACGCTCTTTCGTTGCATTTGTACGGATTTACACCCAAGCCACGCCTAAAGAGGTTTTACTTCAATAAATACACTTTACAACGAGAATATAATTTCGAAATTGAGACAGAAATGATACTCTGAGACTGTTTTTCCTTTGGTGTTACCACATGTCAGTGTACAATATTAAAGTTAGCCAAGAATGTGCATAGCCAAATATTTTTGTTAGTTCTGGTTTATATTATGTAATTAATTTATACTTACACTTTTAACAAATATTTATTTTAATGCAAATTATTTTTTAACGCCTATTTCGTCAACCTCAAAATTTTGCTCGTGAGTTGTCATTCTAAAATTAAAACATTGGCATATTTTGGCATCCGTTGAAAGTGGTTTTACCAAAATACAAAGTTAGTAGGCGGGAAAGAAATTGTCCGAAACGAATAAGGTCAAAATGGTTTAATTTTCCTCGAGGTCAGTTTCTGAAAATTAAAACAATCATTGAATTTTAATAAAATAACTGAGATAAAATAGAAAGAAATGAAATTAAGCAAAAAATTTGAGCGTTATAAAAAGTATTTTTCCATAGGCCTATAATAATTTAGAAGCTTGGTTTTAACTGTTAACCTAAACAAAGAGACGAATAATTTTGAGATTTTCTTTACAAGTTTTTTTTGCTAAAAAAATATCCTGCTTATAATTAATCTGCAATATTTTTATATCGTTTTTAATTATATATTTTCCACTTTTCAGAATATCGGCGAAGCCTATTCTTCGATCAAGAAGAAGAATTCTTCACTTTATCTTCAGGGATGGACAGCATAGTTTGCTCCTACTTTTGATAACATGTCTAAGTCTACACACATGCTTGTGAGTAAAATTTAATTAAAAATAATATATATAACAGAAAACTTATTATTATTATTTACACAACACCTTGATTAAAATGTTTAAAGAAAACTTATTATTTTATCCAACGAAAACAATCGATATAAAAACTCGCTTTTCGCAAGCTTTTGTTTTGTTGATTAAACACTCTGTGTGAGTTACCTTAATAATTAATAATTTTACTTGTTCGTGAATATAGTCTCATACTAGTTTTATAAATTTTCTGCCATATTGCAAATAATAACTAGTGGTGCATGCATCGTGCCTTAAGGCAATTGCTGGATTCTTCCCGTACCGTACTGAAATATTCGAAAAACTTTAAACGTTCTCAAATATATTATTACAAATACTGTAACTTTCATTATTTTTGCTATCTTGTTTATCTGAGCAAATCAAATGTAAATCATAAATCAATTTATCTCCAGAACATTAACAATCGTCATTTCATTGCGAATTCAATTTCAAAAAATATTTACACAAAATTGGGAAAGTGCTCCCGTATAGTCACAGTCTAAACGCATTCGCAAATAATTCTGTGCGACATTCTATCTTATACTGTGCTTGCTTGGCGGCATTTTCACATTTTTAATAGTTTCACAAATTCGGAAAAGTGCCACCAGTGCATAAAACGTTCTAACGCACTCGGTAAACATTTGTACCAGGGTGGCTCTTAGACTGTGCTTAGCCTGGGCGATTTTTTGAATTTTTAATCCAAAATCACAAAAATATTTATGGAAAATAAAACAAATATGTAATAATTTTTTATCCTCAAAAGCAATTGTTTTGTCAATACGAGCAGAAAGTTTTTCAGATCATTCAAATCGGATGCTTAGTTCACTTAAAAACTCCCATTTTTTGCACATTTAGCTCGGTATCTTCGAAATGACGGGACTGTCTTTGACAAAAACTAATCACTTCTTTTCCCAATCATTACAAATTTGATGTTTTTTGGATTATTCAAATCCGATACTCGGTTCTCTCAAAAACTCGATTTGTAATTTCTGCACTCTTTGCTCCGTATCTCCGTAATGGCTGGATCTGCCTTTGCCAAAAACTAATCAGCACATCTCCCTATCAATAGGAATCGAATGGAAAATGAATCATTCGAATCGTTGATCCGTGCGCTTGAAATCGTCGACAGATAAATTGTATCCGCACACACACACATCCATTTAGTTTCTGAGGTTTGCCAAATGTTCAGAAACCTTTTAAACGTCGAGAAAGGCCTATTACTATAACTACCCTACGGGAAGTTAATAACTTGTTTTGGTTTATACATTTCTTTTTAAATTTAACATAAGATTATTTTTCGTTTTGGTTAGTACTTAAAATTATGATTCAAAAATTATTAAGGTTTGTCACACAGCGGTTAGCAGGGCTAACTTCATACTAGTGTTAAAAGCAGAAACTAAAACTCGATGCAAAAAAATTAATTTTGTTTCTTTTTGAATATTTAATTATATTTAAATAGAAAAAATCATGAAGGTTCTATATACTATTTTATTATTTATTATATACTATTATTATTATTTTTTTTTCTCTTAGATCTGCAAATGCAAAACCTCGTCTAGGAGGCGGCAAAGAAAATTTCAGGGCCAAAGAAAAGCAAGTTCTGGACCAAATTTTAGGCCCAGGCCATTACGATGCCAGAATAAGGCCTTCTGGAGTCAATGGAACTGGTAAGTCTTATCCGACTAATTCTTATAAAATTTCTATATTATTTGTTTTATTTACTTACACAATCTGGATTTATTCGAAACCCAATTATAAATAATTTAAAATTTGATAATACTTAATTATAAATTTATATATTTATGCGTATTTAAAAACATATATATATGTATATTAATTATATGGCTTTGTGATAGCTATGAAGTTGGCAATTTGTGGTTTTAATGTTGGTAGTTTGTGGTTTTGATAGTTGGTTTTGAGGTTAAGCGTGATGATTTATCGGTGTTGTATTTAAATACATATTAGTCATTATAAAACGAGATATGAGATATAGTAATTATATAAAATACTTTAATATATAATTTTCCAGTAAAATTAATTGTTAATAATTTTGAAGATTTCTTTCAAAATTATGAATAAAATTATATGCAATTATATTTTTTTGTTTTTCGCTTAAAAAATATTTTACAATTATCAATCAAAATTTATTTGAAAATTAAAAATTTCACTTTTAAAATAAAATTAAAAATCACAATAACAAATTAGATTTCTCAATAATTCAACCCAGTGCCAAAGTTAAAACTCAAATATTCAGTATCATGTCGTCTATCGGCGACACTCGTACACACAGGTCGTCAAACGATATTATTATTATTTTATATTAGAATACTAGAACTTTTTAATGAAACGTACAAAATATTTTACTTTTCATAAATTTCATTATTTTTAATTATTTTATAAATATTTATTTATTTTATATACTCGCCTAACCTCAAAATTACATGTTCAAAACTCATGCTACCAAGATCAAATACCATATTAGTGTTGCCATATGAGAAAGAAATTATTCTAAAATAATACACAAATATTTCTACTTGATCTTGAAATAATATTGTTATTAGTAAAGCAAATATAAATCTTTTAAAGGTTTATAACAAACTAAGAAAAATAAAATAAAATATAATATATATATATATATATATATATATATATATAAATTTAAAAAATATATATTTTAAAATTGAAATATTATTTATTTATTATTTCACTATTCTAAAATTTTCTATTTAACATCAATTTAATTAATAAATTTAATTTTTTTGCCGAATTTTTCTGAATTTAGCTAAATTTTAGATCTCAAAAACAAATATATATATAATAAGTTACTAAAAGTTTCGTCTTTTATCCAAAAAATAATACTAATAGATTTATATTTTGTGGCCGAAAATATATTTTTGAAAAACCTAACCTAAATCAAATTTTGGAAAAAAATCATATTATAAAGAAAAGTTTATCAATTTTCATTAATTTTTGCTAATATTTATATTCTATAACATATATTTAATATATTAATTCAAATAATTTAAAGATTACATGCCTAAAATATGTTTTGAAAAAAATAACCTCAAAATATTTTAATTTTACTATCTTGCGCCCAAAGAAATAAACATTATAAGTAAAAGTTTTATAGCGTAATTGCGAATGTTTGTTTACAGAATTTTCAAAAATAAATTCAAACAATTTAATATTAAGTGACCGAATATATTTTTTTGAAAAATCTAACCTCAATCAGATTTTGGAAAAAAAAAAATTATTATAGAGTACATAAAAGTACATAAATTTTTATCAATTTTTGGCTAGAGAACAAATATCACTAACATATAATTATTTAAGTAATACATGTATGAGAATATATTTAAAAAAAACATAACCTTAATATATTTTAATTTAATTCTCCTTTTTTTGTGTAAAAAGTCACATTATAAGTAAAAGTTTTGTATCATTTTGCAAATGTTCTGTTCTGTTACAAACAAATTAATATTAATTCAAATAATTAAATATTAATAATATATTTTTGGAAAACCTAACCTCAAAATTTTTGAAGAAATTATATAATAAACTAAATTATCACTTTTTTGGTAATGCTTTATTTTTACAATTATTATTGAATATTAATTCCAATAATTTAAAGATCAAATATCCGGAAATTTATTTCTGAAAAATTTAACCTCAAATCTAAATTACTGAACGTTGATGTATTTAATTTTATTTTTAAAAAAGAGTTGAAAACAACTTATTTGAAAAAATTTGTAAATTTATTGAACATAATCTTCATTCAATCTTAAATAATTTCTTGCTTCTCTCACATTCTCGGGTTACGAAAAATATTACAAGACTAAAAGTGCCAAATCGGTTCAGTCGTTTTTTGAGTTTTAGCATGCCTAACATAATGTCGAATTCCACTTATATATATATAATATATATATAGATATTATATTATATATATATAATTAAAGTCATTTACAATAACTAAATAACTCCCGTGACACCTGTCATGTGAACGGTTAATATTTGACATGTGTCACGCACAATTATGTCACTCAAAGATTTTTTATCACTGCCTACATTCCGAAGAATGTAATATTTTTAACATCAAAGCAAACGTTTCGAAATGCAGATGTTTATGCGTTTTTTATTTAAAGTAATTTTAGTTTGGATGAACTGAATTCTGAGTAATACATTATATAAATATACATGTAGTTTATTAGAATCGTTAATTTGATTTACAATTTGGAGTTCTTTCTGTCTAAAATGTGTCAAATGAATGCTTGCATATTAATGCCTATTCGATGAGATTTAACGAACTCACAAGGAGACTCTCAGGGTTAATGATCTGGGTTTTTGATGAAACTTGGGAAGGTGATAAGGTTGATAGTCAAAATGTACACCTTAAAATATTATAGGCCTATGATAAGTAGTTTAATTTTTAAAAATCCATTGAAGTTGAGAAAATCAAATAGCGCGCATACAGTGTCTGCATTAATATGTATATAGGGTCAGTTTAAGCGATGGTATTTATTTTTTGCACTTGTATTCATAGATAATAAAGTTAAAAAATATCTGTAAAATTAATTTTCTAATATGTCAATATTGCAAAAATATTTGTGATTATTAACTCAATGCAACAAAAATTGATATATTTAAAATAAATCTATAAGTACATATATTATACGTATTAACACTCTATTCTAAAAGTAGTAGACATTTTAATATGGAATACTGTATGCTTTTCAAGACTTTAATTAATTTTTATAATTAAACCGCTTCTCATAGGCCTATAATATTTTACAGGGTTTGTCCTGACTATCAACTCAATCACCATGCATATTTCATCAAATCCAAGAAAAATAAAACTGACAGTTTCCTTGTCAGTTTTAATATTATTATTAAAACAGCTATAATATAATTTATTTATTTTACAAAATTAATTCAATACCATACATTTTATCTAAAAAAATTAAAATAACCAAAAAACTTTAAAAAAGTAATATTATGTTTAACGACAATTTCATGATTGCGTGACATTCGGTTTATAAAACTGATTTAAAAACTTCTGTTAATTTTTTTGTTGTAAATATTAAAATAACTCCAAAATCTAACGCGTATGATTTGTTAAATCCTATCCGATGATGTTTTTTTATTATTATTAATTATTAAATTGACTAAGAAAACTCATTTTGTTTAAAACAAAAAAAATAAACAAAAAACTAATACTCACGTACTTGTTACAGTAAATCTTGCTTAGAAACGACAATTTTATGATTGTCGTGACATTCGGTTTTACAAATTTGATTTAAAAACTTCTGTTGTAAACTTCTGTTAATTTTTTGTTGTAAATATTAAAATAATCTCAAGATCTAACGCGTTATATTTGTTGATTCTTATCCGATGATGTTTTTTATTAGTAATAATTATTAATTTACTTAGAAAACTCATTTTGTTTAAAAAAGAAAATTAATAACTAAAAAACTCATGCTCACGTACTTGTTACAGTTTAAAAACGACAATTTCATGATTGTCGTGACATTCGGTTTTGCAAATTTGATTTAAAAACTTTTGTCAATGTTTTGTAGTAAATATTAAAAATAACCTCAAAATCTAACGCGTATATTTTTGTTGAATCCCATCCGATGATGTTCTTTATTATAATTGACTTAGAAAAACTTATTTTGTTTAAAAAACAAATTAAAATAACAAAAAAACTAATACTCACGTACTTGTTACAGTAAAATCTTGCTTAGAAACGACAATTTCATGGTTGTTGTGACATTCGGTTTTACAAATTTGATTTAAAAACTTTTGTTGTAAACTTTAGTTAATTTTTGTTGTCAATATTAGACAATTTCATGGTTGTCGTGACATTCGGGTTTACAAATTTGTTTAAAACTCTTTTCTGTTAATTTTTTGTTGTAAATATTAAAATAATCTCAAAATCTAACGCGTATATGTTTGTTGAATCCTTTCCGATGATGTTTTTTATTATTATTAATTATTAAATTGACTTAGAAAACACATTTTGTTTAAAAAAAAATTAAAATAACAAAAAAACTAATACTCACGTACTTGTTACAGTAAAATCTTGCTTAGAAACGACAACTTCATGGTTGTCGTGACATTCGGTTTTACAAATTTGATTTAAAAACTTCTGTTAATTTTTTGTTGTAAGTATTAAAATAACCAAATAATTCTAGCATATTCGTAACTATTTGATGAGATGATTACAACTTTCAACTTTTAATTTTAAAATATTTTACTACAATAGAATTGAAATGAAAACTACATAAAATGTATCAGGCGCCAAGTAATTATTTGCCAGAAAATTAATTATGCATAACAATTTTTGGTCCTTATTAACCAAGGACTATTACACTAATTTACTTACATCAATAATTTATTTTACCACCATCTGTTGACAATATCTATCACCTTCACATTTTGAGTTTCGAAATACACTAGTTCAATGAATGATACACAGATGGCCCTGCTATCGTACGCATAAACCTGTTCGTAAGAAGCATTGCCACAATCAGCGATATCAAGATGGTAAGTCACAGATAGAAGGGTTTTTTTATTTTTTATTATTTTATTTTAGTTATTAATAATAATAATGAAAAAAATTTTATGATACTTCACAAAACGCAATTGGGCTTGAATTTGTTTTTATATC